ATAGTATCTAATGAGATAATGTTTGTTTGTTTGTTTGTTTCTGAATTTCTTATATTTCCTCCATCTTCTCCAACTGGTTAAGGAGATGTGTTTCCTACAACTGTGAAAAAAGTGAGATCTAGTGATATCAAGTGACCTGCTCAGTAACACAGTGGCAAAGATTATATAACGCTGCTAACTCAGTGGCAAAACAATGCCACCACTTCTAATTTTGCAATTATTTATTTTATTACAATTTGTCATTCATGCATGATACGGGATAAGAAATACATACTAACAATTTTACATACTAACAAAATACATACTAACAAAAAAGCCAAAATACTTCACATATATTTAAGTATTAATCAGGGTAAATATAGTAAAAATTTTACCAATTTATTTATTGTTATAAGCTAACATAAAAGTCAACTATATAAGTGCTACTAGGAAAAGATATTACCAGCTCATTTTGTAAACAAAAATGAAATAAAACTATAGATAAAGAACTCTGAGCATTTAAGAATGCCAATATTTTTGTATTCTTTCAACTGAATATGTGTGTCACTAAAACAGGTCAGCAAAAACAGAAAGATCTGGATAAAAGTCAGGAGGCAGTTTATCTTATATATTAAGGAAGAAGGTTCCTCATAACATAGAGAGATAGATGAAGAAGGATGGAAGACAAAAGAATACGCCTAGTTTCCAAAGAAAGAATAAATTCATAAAGGAGCAGGTGAAGATAAACAGAACAGCTGAGGGTTCTTCCAGCTGTCATTTCCTGATTAATTAAGCAACTGTAAAGAATAAAAAGAATCTCAACTTTACTTATATATGCCTCCACCGTTCCTAAATGTAACAGACATAGGCAGGAGGTAGGCTTCAAACTTTTTTATCAGTCTTATCTATCACTATAGAGCTGTCAACTCATGAAAGAGAAAATGCTGAGAATATACTTGACAAGGCAATAGCTCATCAGCAAGTCCTGTCAGCTCAACCTATAAACTAGATTCCTAATCTTTACATTAGTCCTCCGGCCTGTTCCCTGGAATACCGATCTGTCCTCTGGAATACTGCCTCTTATCATGTTTCTCTATCGTTAAATTTGGGATACAATCAACCTCTTAAAAATGTAAAATGGGTCAAGTCATTTATCTAAAGACTTCTCACTGCACTTGCATTGACAATAAACTCTAACTCCCTTTCATAACCTACAACTCCCTATCACCCTCCTCCCAGCCTCTTAGGCAGGCATAATCTGGTCCATGTCTGCCTCTTCAACTTCACCGGCCTCCAGGAACCCTGACACATGCTATGCAGTGTAACCCTACAGGTCTTGATTTTTCCCTTATTTACTTGCTTTCTACCTGTTTGAAGTTATGGTATGCAACACTCTGTTCAACAGTCTTACACCATTTCCTGAACCTGAAATGCTCTGACCCCAGCTGCTTCCATAGCTAATTCCTTGATATTCAGGAGCAATCCAGTATTACTAATAGTCACTCCTGTTATCTTGTGATCACACAATGTAAAGGACAATATCACACACATAAATATCAGCGTCCTATTAACCTGTGTTATTGTCTCCATTGATAGCTCTGTCTGAAATCATGTTGCTCATTTATCTCTACTAGATAACAAATATATCTTATTCCATTTTCTCCTGCTATAACATGATACATGAGACTGGGTAACTTATGAAAAATAGATTTAGTCTCATACTTCTGGAAGCTGGGCAGTCCAAAAGTATGGTGCAGGATCTTGTAAGGGCCTTCCGGCCACATCATAACATGGTACAAGTCATCATCACATGCTAAGAGGAATCCTGTAAAGTAAGGTCAGCCTTCTACTTTTTTTTTTTGGTCTTTTTGAAATAGGGTCTCGCTATGCAGTTCAGGCTAGCCTTGAGATCTCTTTGTAGCCCAGGCTGGTCTCGAACTTGCAATGATCCTCCTGCCTTAGCCTCCTGAGTGCTGGGATTACAGGCGTGCACCCCCACACTGGGCAGTCTTCTACTTCTTGTACAGCTCCTAGTGCCATCAAGGGGGAAGGAGTCTTAGGACCTAACCCAAAATATCCTAAAGGCTCCATTCCCAAATACTTTCAACATATCAGTATGTTTCCAAGGTGATTATAGTTTCAATTTTTGAAGGAGAAGTTCAAACTAGCACACCTCCCCCAACCTATCCCACAAAAAATACAGGTAAATTCGTTGGGAATTTAAGCCTTGTCTTTCTTGTTCTTTGCTGAATCCCCAAACCCTAGAAGAATATTTGCTACTCAGCTAACATTTACTATTGGATGATAGTCTACCCATCCCAAACTTTATCCATCCTTGTTTACAGCACATACTTCCCTAGCATTTGCTCACTAGCACCTCTCTTTTCTTGTCAGTTCTCTTTTCTAAATTTCTTTTGGGTTAAATTTAAACACTAAGGAATACAAAATAAATAATACAAACAAACATGTTAATGTTAACAGAAACCCATTCAGCCTGGTAGTGGCACAAAAACCCAAGCAAAGTGCTTCAAGGCTCAAGTTCTTAGGGTCAATATAACTCATTAGTGCAACTCCAAAAGGTGGTATATGAAGACAATGTATCTCTGTGACCTCAAAAAGTAACACACGCTCTGTAGACAACTCAGTGGTAGGCCACAAGACAAACAGCAAGGAAAGATGGTATTACCAGGTAGATGACCAGAAGCACTGAAAACAGTTTTTTTAAAATTTCACCCTGAAGCTGATTTTCAAAACAAATCCCATCTCAATATTTGATGAAGAATATTTAAGCCCACTGGTCTTTACAAATTTTTGCCATTTTAAAACTATAATAATAGTTACTATCATGTGGTAGTTACTGTGTTCTAGTATCATCAAGTATCATATTCTTGGAATTTATAAATGAAAATATTGAACTTCACGTAAGTAAGGGCAGACAACTGATTAAAAGCAACAGGTCTGTGTCCTACGGAGTCCATATCTCCTGCGAATCACAACTTAATAGAAGTAAAACCAATAAATAAAAATCTGCATTTGTAAATTAAGGGAAACCATTTTCCTGTTAAGTGTTCCTCACTTTAGAAAAAGACAAATGGAATTTCCTTAAACTAGTTAATTTTAGCCGGGCGTGGTGGTACACACCTGTAATCCCAGCACTTAGGAGGTTGAGGCAGGAGGATCCTTGTGAGTTCAAGACTAGCCTCCGCTACAGGGTGAGCTCAAGGCAGCCTGAACTGCATAGGGAGACCCTGTTTCAAAAAAGAGTTTTAAAAAATAGTTAATTTTAATAGTACATTTCAATAACAATAGCATGGCAACCTTCAAAAACCAGTCTTCAGGATCCTTTTATAAAGCATATAATTATCATCTTAGAATCACCTAATATTAAGAGTTGTTGGGGCTGGGGATTTAGCTCAGCGACATAAGCACCTGCCTTGCGAGCAGGCAGTCATGAGTTCGAACCCCAGTACCGATAAAAAGGAAAAAGACCAAAAAAAAAAAAAAGTCGTCTTACTATTTATAGGTCTAGCCATGATAACCAAACTGAGCTGATAGCTGAGATCTTACCACTTAGAGGTTCTTAAAAATGAAAATTCTAAATTCCACTCCAGTTCTTCCAAATCAGAATGTCTACGGTCTAACCCCCAAAACAATTTTTAAACTTCCCAACACAAATAACTAAGGTTCACAATTACTGTCACTCTAAAGTCAACATTCTACAAATGAGAAAATTGAGGACCTAAACAGAAGCTTCCTCAAGCCACGAAGCTTAAGTGCCACAGTAAGCTGGAGAAACAATATTAGTACTTATTTCTGCTTTGCTACTTTGTGTTGTCAATTACTTGATACCCACCATCCTCGTGCAACTTATTCCCTCATCTGCAAGCTGTGAATAACAATAATAGTGCCTACCTCTTAGGCACTTCTCTAAGGATTAAATAATACAACATCCATTATATAATGCACTTAACACAGTGCCAGGAATAGTGACTACTCATTAGCGAAGTTATATAATCCACTAAAACAGCATGCTATTTTAACTGGAGCGGACATACTGAATCACTCCAATTACAAAATGCACACGAAACTCATGTTTAGCTTTAGAAGTCCAAAAGGACTTCAAATTTTGGGTTAAATTTAAAGTTATGGCATCTGGTGTCTTGCTTTTCCATTCATCATCTATTGCTGTTAAAAGTCCACCTATCAGAGAATACCCTAAGACATAAACTAAGTACACATGAGCTTGTTTGATCGCTGCACACTAGGTTTCTCCTGGGATGTCTCAGGACCACCGAGTAACTCTCTCAGTGACAACCAGGAATGTGCATTTATAAAAGCCTCTTCTCTCTAAACAGGTGCTTTCCAGGCAAACCAAGTTTGATAACCATTGATAAACAGATTCCGTGACCACAGCAAAGGGCCTGTCTAGTTCTCCCAGCAGGCAATTATCTTGTTCTGTAACCAAAACCGCTGCATCATCAGGTCCTGATGCAAACAACAGCTGGGCCCGAATGTCCTGAGTAGCCCTCGTAGTCACCAGGGACAGAGTCGACCTCCTCACCTCCTAAGACACTTATCTAATTACGAAAACGATGTCCCACAGTCCCTGTGACAGACAGTGCTGCCTAGGCGACCACGAGAGGCTAAAGTTGACTCAATATTCTCCTTCACAGAGACAAGGGCAAAGGAAGGAGACACTGGATGTCTGACTAGACCCGAGCGGCGCCAAAAGGTTAACGACCGTCTTGTCCGGTTCCTTTCAGCTATCGGGAACCTCCACTACTTCGCTGCTCAGATGCCGGAAGTGCGTCATCCAGCACGCTGGAGGTGCCGGGAGTTGTAGTTAAGTGCTTAATTCTCTTGCAAACACCCCCATCACCTTTTGTTAAACAAGAAAACACCTGAGACATCTGGCAAATGTTGCTTTGAGCCTCACAGGTCTGTTATCCCTTCCTTTGCCCGGTTGACAGAGCAAACTCTAGGCTCTCGAGGGAACATGGACTACAAGTTCCGGCATGCTCTGCACCGCGCTCCGAACTCCCGGCCACCGTTGTAGGTGCGGGCCGCCTGAATGGAGCGCTGGGCGTAAGGCAAAGCCTGGCACTGTCCGCGCGGCCGGTACCTGCTCCTGAGCGCAAGTGCGGGGTGTGGGCCGTGCGCGTGCGCGCCCAGAAGAGGCGCGAGGCGAACGCGCCTGGCCGTTACTGGCACGTAGCCGCTGAGGTTGGCGGCAGCAGCGGCAAAGCCGCGCGTTGAACTGTCGGGTACTTGCAGGGCCTCCCGCCTCGCCTGGGGCTGCAGGCAGCCGTGGCGGCCGCCGGGGACCGCAAGGGCCGGAAGAAGGGAGGAGGCCGGTCCCGGCACACGGAGGAACCGCCGAGCATGCCCCGAGACAACATGGCTTCCTTGATCCAACGGATCGCCCGCCAGGCTTGCCTCACCTTCCGGGGCTGCGGGGGCGGCCACGGCGCTTCCGACCGCGGCGCGACGGCTGGCCCAGAGGCATCGATACCGCCCGGCTTCCCTGAGAACCTGAGCAAGCTGAAGAGCCTGCTGACCCAGGTCCGCGCCGAGGACCTCAACATCGCCCCGCGCAAGGCCACGCTGCAGCCGCTGCCGCCAAACCTACCACCGGTCACCTACATGCACATCTACGAGACGCACAGTTTCAGCCTCGGCGTGTTCCTGCTCAAGAGCGGCACTTCCATCCCGCTGCACGACCACCCGGGCATGCACGGTATGCTCAAGGTGCTCTACGGCACCGTCCGCATTAGCTGCTTGGACAAGCTGGAGACGGGCGGTGGGCAGCGTCCGCTGTCCCCGCCGCCGGAGCAGCAATTCGAGCCGCCGCTGCAGGCCCGGGAGCGGGAGACCATGCGGCCGGGCATCCTGCGCTCGCGGGCGGAGTACACTGAAGCCAGTGGCCTCTGCGTTCTCACGCCGCATCGGGACAACCTGCACCAGATTGACGCTGTGGACGGGCCCGCTGCCTTCCTGGACATCTTGGCCCCGCCCTACGACCCCGACGACGGCCGGGACTGCCACTATTACCGGGTGCTGGAGCCAGTCAGGCCCAAGGAGGCCTCTGGCTCAGCCGGTGACCTTCCCCGAGAGGTATGGCTCCTGGAGACCCCGCAGGCCGATGACTTCTGGTGCGAGGGGGAGCCCTATCCAGGTCCCAGGGTCTTCCCTTGAAACCACGGACGCTAGCGGTCGGCCGAAGACGAGGCCTTGCTGCTCGATAACTACCTACCACAAGGGCTCAGTGTCTCGCGATCTGACCCCTAGCCTGGACGTTGGATCTCCTGGAGTAACCAGCAGCAGCAGCGTCCTCGCCAGTCTTGGAAAGCACGGGCTACTGGGCAGCAGCCATCGGGCACGGTTAAGGGGGCGGGGTGGGCGGGAGGCTAGGCTATTTCCTGGTACTTTCACTGCGCCAGGGCTTTGATTTCGGGAGTGGGGCAGGGGATTTTGAAGTGCTTCCATCCTAAAGCCATAATAAGAATATTCCTCCTCTGTTCCCCATGCTTTACAAAATACACTAAATGGTTTTTCACCCCAACCCCACTTGGTAAATAGAGTTTGTTTTCCACTCCTGCCCTTATGACCTTTTGCTCTTCACAATTAACTTATTGACTGCATGACCAAGTGGTTTGAATTGATTTTAGTTCAAGTCATTGGTTAAAACTACATTTTCCAGAAATGCGCAACTTTTAAAGTGAGCTGTCCAGCCACAGCTGCCCTGTGAAAATTTAATCATCTTTTCAGAGTTTTGGGATCACCCTAAAAGCGTAACTATGCATACGGAGGACAAGATGTATTTTCTTTCCTCCCTTTGCTCTATAGCTTATATCTAGGTTTCTCAGGCAGCCTTTACTAAAACATTCAGTCACCTGCGTATCTCAGTGCGAGCTGGTTCCTTAGTGTTTATCTCCAGATCTGTGAGTTGAGCAAGTTTTTTGTTGTAGATTCACCTTTAATGTGAAGGCTGTATTATACTCCAGTGACTGTTTTCTTGTCCTGATGTACTTTCAAGAGATGATACGGTAATTCTGTGTTTTCTAACCAGAATCAAAGGAGCTCAATCTGTTATGCTTCCAAACAACTGAATGTAAAACACTCCTAGCCAACTGTTAAATTCCATATGCCTATTGACTTCCAGTATCTTCCTATAAAAGTAGAAGACAACATTATATTGGTGACTGTTTCACATTCTCCCAGGAACCAGAGGGCTGTGATTCCCGCTCAGCTGCTGGTGTTATCCCTCTCCTTCACAGTGTTGAGCAAGCACTTGCTTCATTTGATGTGTTTTTGTAGAAAAGTAGGAGGCATAGATGATCTAGCCTGGAGAGCTGGGAATTAATTGGGCATTTTAGGGCACCAAAACTTGGGATGAGATGCTTCCCACTTGCAAATCCTGAAATAACAGTTACATGTTAGATTTATTTTTGCCCTTTTAAAAAGCTGAGCAACTTTACCTTGTTTACAGATGTATTGACACCATTTGCTTCAGGCCATGGAGCACTGTTTTCCCTTTTGTACTATTTATACTATTCCATTTTTGGTTTTTTTCACGAAGCTTTTTTCATAAAAACAAAGCAGTAGAAATAAACACCTTGAGATTTGCAGGGCTATTGTTCAAGCCTTTTTGATGGACTTACACATGTGGCAATAGACTTCTGCCTGTAATAAAGGAAAATCTACTATTATTGTGGAAAGTATTTGCTGCCCTTGAGGGAAACTACATGTCTTGCCTCTAACTACACTGGGTTACACAGACCTAGGGTGAAGGAGTATTTGTTCCCAGTTCTTAGTACAGAAAAGCAAGTTCTTTTTAATAAGAGACACTTATTCAATTCAACGTGACGGGCCACGAAAATCCTGTTAAAACCTGACACAGGCATAATACCAACCATTTCTTCCAGGGTTGCAAAAATTGTTACTGTAACTTTACATTTTGGTGTGATTTTAAATGCCTTGGGGACAATATGAAGCTGCTCTTCATGCCACTCAGTTTGAAAACAAATCCTACATATGCAAATAATTTTCTTAGAAAATGTCACAAAATAAAATATTTGTGTTTTTTATAGCACAGTAATGAATGTGTGTAGTTATCATCGGTTGGTCACACACTTTTTAAAGTTATAGCAAAAAATTTACAAAGACTGTTGATAGTCAAATGTTTGTTATGGTGTAATCTGGAGTATGTTAAACTAAACCTATAGAAACATTCTGGAAATATGGCAGTAATAAAGGAAAAAGTATTATGAAAGACTTTACTACCCCCCAAAAGTGGTAAAAGTTCTCAATTACAAGCAGATTGGAAGGGAAAGACTGAGGTGCTTTTCAAAAGAGTAACTGAAGTTGTTCAGGCAAAAACAGCAATATATCTTTTTAATTTAGTTAAGTAAGAACAGTGAAATTTTGGTTCACTGATAAAATCTGAGTAAATTCATGCTGAAAACAAAATGTAATTTGTTTTCATAAACCAGTACAGAAAAAGTATGCTCATTAGATAAAATGTGGTACAGAGGAAACCTTGCACCTCTATGCATAAAGTGTTCGTCACGACTGACTTCTTGTGCTGCTATTGTTTCCATGTAGTCCTGCATATAGATTGTTTTAATAATTACTGTGGGATAAAAGTTACCTTCTCCTGGGAAAGACTAATGAGCACAATGGTATTAATCATTTAATTTTTTTGTTAAATAATAAATGCAATAATTGCCTTTCATGGATGAGAAATTGTCTGTCTACTGCTGAAGCTTTTCGATTCTCTGTTACACCAGTTATACCAATGCAGAATGTTGTGTACCTGCTTACTACTTTGAGACCTGATTTATATATACTAAGCCTTCTATTTATTAATGAAGATGGTGGTAATATGTGCTTTTATCAACAGAAGTTCTTTGAGCCTTCACATAAGTAGCTCTTAGCTTCTCTCAAAATGCATCTTTTAGCCCCATCCCTCTTATCTCCACACCACTGTCTCCTTGTAGGTTCCTTAATCCTGGCATCTCACCTCGGCAGGACTGTCATCACTTTCTTCTAAATGATTCTGATTCCTGTGCTTCAAAGGAAGCAATGTACTGTTAACTCAAACATCTGCCTATTGTATTTAACCCTATTCTAAAAGCAGTGCTACTCTTGTAACTGTAGGTCTAAGTTCTATACACAAGCTGACTGATCATCTCCAGTGCACTGTCAAGGATATGAATCTTCTAATTCAGGGATGCTTACATGTATAGATAAAATAAGTGTACTTATGGAAATAAAGGGATATTTAAAATTGTTTAGCAATAAATCTTGATTATTGCAAATTGGAGAAGGAAAACATTTCCTACTATATATACATTTTTTGACTATTGCTAAAAGTTCACAGCTGCCAGCCTTTTAAAGATTATTAAAGTCCAAGTAACAATATGGAACTTAACATTAGTTTATTTCCTTGAGAGTGAACTTTGAAATAGAATGACTGAAAACGTCTGAAACTTTGATACTTTATTATACTTTTTGCTCTAAAGAAAAAAGCCTCATATTTAGAAATATAAAATATATTCTGAAATATATAAAAATAGTACAAAAAACAATTATAATGCTAAAAGGCAAGAGACTTACTTTTCTTTCTTTGATTTTTCCTTTTCCTGTAGAATTTTTATAGCTGTAGCTTGGACTAGCAGCATCTTAGGCACCTGTGTTGATGTTAGCCACCTCCCTACACGTACACAAACACACACAAATGGTATTGAACTGTTAAAACATTCCTATAGCAACTTTTAATACATAAAAGCTTGCCTTGATCTCAGCAAGATTAAGATTAAAATTAAATGGTCTGATATATGAGCACTTGAGAACCTTATTTAGGTGCAGTCAGCCTGTTTATAACATGAATTGACCCATCTCAAAAGCATTAAGAACAAAATGAAATTAATCTCCAGTAACTTTAATAAAAAACCAGTATCAGTAATATTATTCTATAAGGTGTATTTTTCTATGGTCTTGAGCACAGTGAAAGAGAGATGCCTGTGAAAAGTGTCCTAAAATTTGTAAGTCAAAAATATAAAGATACTGGCCTCACGTATTTAAATGGAGTAAAAGCCATGAGGTTGGCTCTGGGAAAACATTGTGTGTTCCTTACGGTATATATCACTACCTCGTCAGGTCAGCCAAGGTGAAAGTGAGTGTGTGACCAATTTGGTAATCAAAATGTCTTAGATCTTGTTTTTAAATGATTTTACCTCCTTTGTAAACAGTGGTTTAGATTTTCTTAGTTGAAGGTGGTATAAAAATTTGTCAAGATTACATATTGTACAAAAGTTGAGTGTACTACATTTTAATATGAAATCTTGTAAGAAGGATTTGTTAACGTAATTGTCAAGATTGGCATTCTATACTTGTCAAAATTGGATAAGCAAGGATGATGAGAAATACAAGTTTATTAGGGAAATCACCAACTAAGAAAAAAACTGACACTCAAATTTTGAAATCTCTGTTTAGTGGTTCTGAAAAGAGGTATCTATATCCTTGAAATAGGAATGGAGGAAAGGATTAACTACCTCCATAAATTAAATTTCAATTTCCAGTGCTATTAAAGGAACAAGGTGTTTTCTAGGAGTAGCTGTGAGTACAAGCTATTCTGAAGTACAAACTATCAAAAGCCAACTGTGAGAGTCTGAGGTAGCAAGAGACAAGCAGAAAAGATTTTCACATGTAACTGAACAATGAATGCTCCAATATATTACATTTGTGTAATACGCAGTGGGTGAACTTAAATGATATTCAGGTTCAGATTTTAGAGTAAAGATGATTACTATATGAAGACATTATCCATTTGCTTTGTATGATAGATGAAGTTATAATTTATTAAGTAAACTTATGTTTTAAAATTACTTCAGAAATCTTTCAGTAAAGTGAACCCTATGGTATTTTGCTTTGCAAACCAGTATCCAGTCTCTCCGAAGACTGAATTGGCCTAATTCATACTGCCTTTGAGATTTTCTTAAGGCCAGTAGACACCTAGTTTATTTCATGAGCTGAGTATTTTGATAAGTCACTTCTAAACCCACCAAAACTACAATAGCAGGGAACTGATCCTTCTGTGTAAGAGTGCACTTGGGATGCAGGCTGAGAAAAAATGAGTCCCGGGGTAATTCCTTCGGAAACCCATTAGTGCTGTCATCAGCAGTGTCTGAGAGCATTTTGATCTGAAGTGATAATGCTTTCAACAACTTTTCTGAAGTCATGACTCTAATCCTGGAACCTGAAAGTCATTTCCAGCTTGACCACGCCACCACACTTTCCACAAAGCCACATCTAGTCTGAGTTCCAGGGCCTGGTCAGGTTCTGAAAGCAGTTGCAAATGTGTAGTCTCCGAGTGGGCACTTGTTTGTAAGTATTTATTTTCCGGAGCCCACTCAGGAGCAGAGAAAAGCTATAGGCTGTTATAGAGGACGGAACAATGAGTCAAAACAACGCCTCCCCACTTTTACACTAACGCAGGGGGGAAATCCCCAGAACACTAGCGTTTGATTATGAATGGAGATTGATTTGGAGTGGCAGGTTTGGTGTCCATAGGCTAGCAAACAAAATTTGGAGGACCTGTCTTGGTCAAAGCACTTTAGCCCACTGATACTTTGTACTGTTTGTTAATAGTTCCCCAGGTGTTGAATATAATTCAACTGTAATTCCCATCAAATATTTCATAAATGATATCTACAGCAGAAATATTGTTGAAAAGTATTTATTTACACTATAGTCAAGCCATTCATTATTTGAACTTCAGTTAGTGGTTTTTGTGTTAGATCGTTTGTTTTTCCACAACTATTAAGAGCTAATAACCAAACAAATCCAAAATTTGACTACAAAGGTAACACTTTTAAGTCACAAAACAAGAGCATACAAAAATATACTTTCTAAAAAAAATTCCAAATATTAATAGGCAGAAATATACAGCCATACTTAACCTCAGGAGTCAATCTTATTTTCCATAGTAAGGCAACCCATTTACATGCAGACCCTGTAACACTGTCTACATTACACAAGGCACCAAGGACACTTCCAACACAATTGCATGCATTCTAGTTTTAGAGAATTATATTTACATCACTCTTTAAATAAGTTAACCTCTGACTCATTTCAAGAGATCATAAATGCTTTACAATTTTTTTCCCAAAGGTTCAGAACTTGGAGAACAGTGCACATCAAAAATACACAAAATCTGAGTGGATATACACTGAAAAAATAGTCTACATTTTTTCAACTCAAAAAGGAGCAGATATTGCTATGTCCCTCCCATCACATTGCACTTCTGTTCTCTGACTTTATAATACATATTGCTTAAAGGGTTGAGATGACTAGATAAGCTTTGATTCGCTGTTCTAGGGCCATCAGTCGCAGAACAAAGGCCATGTTGTGCTCACTGTACAGCATCCCTCAAATCAGTCCCAAGCCATAAAGTGCACATCAGTTTGCTTTTCTTCTGTCTCCACTTGAAGAGATCAGCATCTCCCAACCTACTGTAGAAAAAGTCTCAGATCAACTCTGACATCCAGGATCAAAAACCTGTCCTCGGTCAAAACGAAGGGAAAGGGGAGCAAAACCCTTCTAGTCAAAGAACCCTTTAAAGCAGGGTTGAACCTCAGCCCTCAAGGCCAAGGATCCATACCCAAACCCCTTCTGAGCCTCCTCACTACCTTGGGGTGATAGTCAACTCACCTAAGAGACACTAAGATGAGCTAAGTTTTAGGAAGGGCTGGCTTCTAAGAGGAAAGAAGACGCAGGTTGGGCTCCACCAAACCCCTTTGCCCAACGAAGGAAGGGAGGAGTAGGGACAGGTGGTAGTGTTTGTTGCACAGCTGGAATGGACAAAGAGCCTCCAGGGCCTGGAGGAGTCAACTTCAGTTTCATCTCAAGGAGTCCGGGTCCGAGAAGAACAAGGGGCCAGTGGCCCTCCGGCGATAGTGCTATTGTTGCTGCTGCACAGACTGCCCCCAGCCTGTGAGCCCCCAGCGCACGAGACGGCAGAGGGGGCTGGCACCGATGAGGAGGGAGCACTGCTTTTCCGTTCTTTCTGTCTCAGATGGATCTTGGTGTGGCGCTTCCTTTCATCACTCCGGGCAAACTTGCGGCCACAGTAATCACAGGCAAAAGGCTTCTCCCCGGTGTGGGTGCGGATGTGGGTGGTGAGGTGGTCACTTCGGCTGAAGTTGCGCATGCAAATCCGACACTGGAAGGGCTTATGTCCGGTGTGGATTCTGATGTGCCTCGTCAGTTCATCCGAACGGGAGAACCGCCTGTCACAGCCTTCTGCTGGGCATGGGTAAGGCCTCTCATGCACTGGTGTCTTGCTTGGTCTGTTGGGGTACTTGCGAGGCCTCAGGATGGGCCGCAATGGCAGGTGGTGTGGGTTATAGGCGGCGGCGGCTGCTGCTGCTGAACTGCTGCCAGGCAGCCGGGGTCCTTCATTGCCTCCAGTGGCTCCTGGTCCTGTGACTCCAGCACTGGGGCCCCCCAGGGTAAAGTTACGGATAGTAGAGAGTGGAGTGAGTGGAGGGGGGACCCGCAGGGAGTCCAAGGGACAAGGAAAGGGCTTGCGATCTGGGCCAGCAGTACCGTGTAGGTCTCTCTGGCACTGAGGTGGGAAAAATCCTGGATAGTCTGGAATCATGGGGAAGAGACCTGGGTCCGTGGCTGGCTTTGGGGATGGGTAGGAAGGAGGTGGTGGATAGGCCAAAG